TTGTCTGTGTGAAAAGTCTTTTTTTCATTGCTAAATTTTGCAGTTCACCTGTTTATCCTTCTGAATTTGGTTCAAAGTATTTATAGCTTTTTTTTTTTCAAATACCTTTTCCTACCTTAATTGGAAATCTTAGTGTCACAGTCGCTTAACAAGCATTGTCTGTCTTCTTAACTTCTTCCTTACCTAAGTACTCTGCAGCTTCTCTCCAGTTCTTTTGATGTGTAGGTATGTTTAGTTTCTCTAACAGATGTTTTTCTTCAATATAGTGCTCCTCATCCTGTTTTATCATATAAGAAAGCTCAGCTCCAAACATTTCCTTGAAACTCCTTTGGAGTTTCAGCTCCAAACAATTCCTTAAAATGTTGTTAACTTTCATATGCCAGCAGTCTGCAACCTCTTCATGTAATACTTCCATTCCCCAAAGTGTTTCTCTAATACATTTGAAATCATCTTCATACCAATCTTGGTGCATTAATGCACCGAAGCTTGAAATATATGCTGCTTTATGCTTTCAGTAATTTTGAACCACGAACACAGTTACAGCATAAGGTAGCTGTTTATTGGAAAGTTTGAGTGTAACTTGTGATGAGGCAGGTCGTTGTAGTGGAATAAGAAGTAGAGCTTGTACTGAATATAGATTACTGGAAGAAGCATACTATATTTCAAACATAGATGCATTTGATGTATCAAGTATGACCTCTACTTCTGAAGCTAAGAACATGAAGACTATTTTGCTGTAAAACTTCTGGGTGGGCTGTATGTGTAATTTTTTTTCTCTGGAGACACAACGGGGAAAAAAGCATCTTAAAGTTCCTATTTTTTCAGATGTATTCTGGCTTAGTATAGTACGTAAATTTGATGTCTATACGTAGCATTCTTCTCAGGTAATAGTATCTCAGCAAAAAAATCTCTTACAGCAGTGAGTTTTAGTATGAACTAGAATAACTTTTTGCCAACAAAAGGCAGAAAATACCATCTTTAAAAGTGAGGAAAATGTGGAAGACAATGATACATTCCTTAATGATGGAGTCAACTCATTTTCTGTGTTATTATGAAGTTCTTCCTGTCTGATGGCAGTCTGTAACAGTTCAGTTACGCAAAGACATAATGCAAATTTACCATTGGACTCCTGCCACTTTTCCACTCAGGCAGTCAGATGAGTTTGGGAGACAGAAGCTGTGTAAGACAGGTGTTTCTAGCAGTCTGTAGACTTGCAAAATGATCTTTTAAAAATATTTTCAGAAATATGTTGAATACAAATTTCTGTACAGCTCAAAGACACAAAAAGGGAAAGTAATAGATGACCAAAATCTGTAGCTCAAAATTTGACCATATTTTAGAAATAGGGAGTTGGATTTACAGGGAACAGGAGTGCTAAAAGATCTGTATTCCAGCCTGCAGAAAGTACTTTTAATTTGCACACAAAAGTAGTACATGCAGAGACTTATACTTGGTTTTTTTTTAAAAAAGGTTGATATATATCAGTGGTTACATTCTTGTATGTTCAGTTCTTTGTTGCTAAGCAGTATCGAATTGGATGCCATGTTGAGGTGCATTTGGGAGGTGATGAGATTAGTCAAGAGACCTTTGGGCTTGTTCATTCGTTTTCTACACATGCGCCCATATTATCATTTGCCAAGAGCATCCTCCCAGAATAAATTACGGGGAGGTTCTGATGTAGCTATTTATTACATACAGAGTGTACTTCTAAAGATCTGCCTTAAAGTGTTCTGCTTACTGTTTGGATAGATCTGTAGTTGATAAAAGATAACCAGTAATAACTGATGAGTTAGATAAAGACATTAGTATGTCTGATTTCAGACTTCTATTTGTTTGGTTTGGTTGGGTTTTTTAAACCAGAAAAACCTGAATGCCAGGAATAGGTATTAACTAGAATTGTTTCTGTGGTACTCCAACAGGTGGAGGTAAAGCCATATGTGTTGGATGACCAGATGTGTGACGAATGCCAGGGTGCACGATGCGGTGGAAAGTTTGCTCCTTTCTTTTGTGCCAATGTCACTTGCCTGCAGTATTACTGTGAGTTTTGTTGGGCAAATATCCACTCTCGTGCAGGACGTGAATTCCATAAGCCATTGGTAAAGGAGGGGGCTGACCGCCCACGTCAGATCCACTTCCGCTGGAATTAAACATGGTGAACCAGCATCTACATAAGGAAAGAAGGGTGCATGTGGCTTACTGTGTTTGAAGATACTGACATGCAGAAGAAATAAGTGCATTCTTCTGCTTTTCACCCCAGCTATCAATACATGCATCTTTATCAGCAGCCAAAACACTACAAGCCTCTTGTTTTTCACCAAAACCCTACATCTCAGGCTTACTAATTTTTGTGATATTTTCATGTTAAAATAAAATGTTTTTTTGTATTTTCTCCAAGTTATTTTTATATGTAAAGTTAAAACTAGATATGAGAATGTTTTTGCGTAGGGGCACACAGTCTGCTGCTATATTTAGTGGGTGAAGCGTGCACTTATTTCTAAACATGGGTTTTTAACTTCAAGATCTGCCCCAGTAATTTACCAAAGGTAGCAAAATAGTGAAGATGGAATATGTCTGCTACAAAAAGCTTATTTTTATTGTTGTTGCTATTTTCAGTGTATACATAAACTAAAAATTAGGGTTGATTTTTTGCTCTCCATTTTGACTTGCAAGAAATAATACCTCAAGATAATCTGATTTATTAGCTATTTTTAAACATTTTTAATCACAAGCTGTATTAGCTTTGCTGCTATATAGGTGTTATGTGTAATGCCACCTATTAATACGGGATTGAAACGTTTAAGACACACTGCATTACAGATTAAATGCAGGCAGCACAATATGGCCTAAACTGCCATAGTTTTAGAATGTGAAAAACTTGCATGTTTACTTACCTGTATACACCATATGCATGCACTAGAACTATTAATTAACAAGAGGTGAGTTATTGCAAATGTTCAAAAAAGGCTCTCTTGAAACTAGGTAGCATGAGCAAATTTACAAAATTTGTTACAAAAAAACAAACTTGCATGCATTATTGTGACTGAAGTAAAAAAATGTCCTACATGTGTACAATATGCAAATTAGTTTTAGACTAGAAAGTGCAGCCATTTTGTGACCTGGTCAGTAGTGGAATTCAATTTTATGCAGACTGGATGTAATATTGTAATCCCTGTGCAATTTTGTGATGTGTGCTTCTACTTAATGTGGCGTGACGTAGTATAGATACGAGTTTGAGTAAAAAGCTAGCATTCAAGAAATTCTTTTAAGCCCCCTTGATTGTTCATGGTTAAGATTTCCTCTACAAACCAAAGATGGCCAGCACACTGCTAACCAGTCACCAAATGTGAAACCCATGACAAATGCATACAAAAATAGACTTCTATAAGAATGCGTAACGCTTTAGAAATTAAATTTAAGTAAAGTCAAAATGGAGAAGGTGTAATATACAGACGGCTAGTTGCATAACAAACTAAATTTGACCTTTAAGACAACAGTGAAATTTGGCTTACAGAAATCTTGCTTACATGTTTGACCTGTGTGCGTTGTGGTCTTCTGTCAAACTGGGGTCACTGTTGCATGAAAAGTAGCTACTTGACAGTCAAGGATAGTGTTTTTATTTTAATGAAGGAGTTCTAGTAATGACATTGCTTGCAGATTTTGAAAAACAAACATAGTTAGGACAGAGGCAATGTTTAACTGAACACTAAAAGAAAATCCTAGCAGTGTTTTTGTCTATCTCAGAGCATTTTTAATGCAACTAGCCCCTACTTTTTAACGGAAGTTATTCTGCAGTCTGAGCAAGCACTCAACGTAAATGTTGTCATGCAGAATTAAGAGCCTGATGCTAGAGTTGAAATTACAAGGGTGTTGTTCTTCACAATCCCTTGGGACAATCCTTCACGTAAGCAAAGTGTTGATCTTATATTGGTTGTCTACGGTGTGCTTTTTTGTACTGTACAATACGTGGTTCATGTCTAACTCTGCTGTTTTATTGTGGTTGTGGTTCAAGTTTTTAATGTTTAAAGTTGATGCTGTTTTAAGAAGAGCTTTTTACTAATTTATTTGTCAATGTTCCCTATTTGTTACCTAACCATGATCCTCCAGATTTTTTGGAGTATTCTTTTCTAACCTTAACCCTGCCAAACCTTGATCCATTTTGACATTTGTTATGCACTATTTTTATATCTCTGTGAGAGATTTTTCCAACAGTCAGCTATTTTAAGGCACACTTTTTTTGACTGATGACATCTCCTTTGCTATACCTCAATTTTTGGAATTTAGAAAAGAAATCAGTAGTTTTGCAATGTTAATTATTTAGATATAATTTAATTCTGCAGATTTTTTTAAACTTTATTTTCATATTTTCTGCTTAATGTTTAAAATTGAAGAGCCTTTAAATATATTAAATAATGAACACTAATATGAAAATAGTAAAAAATTGAAATAATTGGAGATGTTGAAAAATGCTTTCCCTGTTTAAATGGAACTGCATAAGTAAGTCACAGGGGGACAAAACAGGGATGCCCTTTTTTGGCATGGGTAAAAATAACTGAAATGTCTGGTTTTACTTGTCACTTCATTTCTGGAGCAATTCAACTTATGGTTGTCGTACCCTGCACCACCTCCTTTTTTTTTTTTCTTTTCTTTGTTTTTCCTTTTTTATCTACTAAGTTCTTATTTTCTAACTGTTGAACACTGTATTTGATTTTTTTTTTTTACAGATCATATTTATTTTACTATTTTTGTAGAAGATTGCTAGTTAGTTTGATTGTATTTTTGTATTTTTAAAGCTTCTTCACTTTTGTTCCCCAAATGTGCATATTGCTGCCCATGAGTATGACTGTGGAGGAAAAAAAAAAAAAAACCTTTAAAAATCCACACTTTTTGTTAAGAAGGAAACATTTAGCATTTATATATTTGTGTATGGAAAACACTTGATATTTTATCCCTGTTGCATCTGGCTGCACAAAGCCTCTCCTCAAAGATGCTACAAAACTTGAATATAACACATTTTGGAAGGCTGACTAACCTCGATTCTGTGTTGTGATGTGCAATACTGTTTCTAATGTTTGTATAAAAAAATAACAGTGTAAACCTTTTTAATGCAAATTTATTTTTTTCATTGCATATTTTGCAGATTTTATCCACAGTGTCATTTTTTACTGTCAGAAAAGATACCCCTTTTGTCATTGCAACTATTTTTTAAATCCAGAAATCTTTGTACTGATGTAAATGATTGTAGTTATTTTGGATAGTGTTTTGCTAACAAAAGGAGAGACTTTTTTCATGCATATTTCTATTTTGTTTTTTTGGTTTTTATTTTATTTTAATAGTAGTAAAATACTTGGAATAATTTTTCATATTCTTGTCATTAATATTATTTTGTATTTTTATGTGGAAATATATAATTTTATGACGCTAATTGCTAAAGTTTATTTTATGTTGAATTATTTTTGGAGCTGAAATCTTTGTAATATTAAAGCAACTAGTTTCTAATTCCGAGTTTCTGTATAGAATCGCACAAGTGGTTTATGGAGTGTTTGGATTGTAATTATAAATGGTTCTTTGATATGCAAATTAATATTTTCAGTTGATTTTATTTTGTATTCCTAATGGGGTGTTAAAGCAGTTTTTTATTTTTTTCTAAATAAAAAGAGAACCCATGCTTTTATGGACACTAGGTAATCGCCTTCAGCTTAAAATTTTTTTGTTAAATATTTTAGTTTGTTTTACTGTTATCTTCCAGGTGTCTAAATCTCCAGTCTGTCTGTTGTACTGGTAATTTAACTCTGTAATGGAATAGTTTGCTGCCAACTATTTATATTAAGTAATTTTTAAATATTTGTAATATTGTTGACTGACTAATAAACTATTAAGTTATTGGCACATTTCTTTTGTAATTTTGTGTCTTGTGCAACTCTTTAACAAATGCTTTTAATCATTAAAATGGAAAAGCAATAACTCAACCTCAAGAGGAAAAATATGAAGGCCGACTTCGGTGCAAATTAAAGTCCTGTTATTTATGGTCTCTCTCCCAGATGACCGAAGGAACTTGTAAACCCTACAGACACTCAATGTATCTTACAGCTTTTTAAGTAGAACTGTCTCTTGGTTTTCGTTCAGAATTTTATTCATTTCAGATACTCAGATATTTACTCTGCTTTACACCCCACCCCACCCAACTCCTGCCCTTGAATGCCCCTACTATATATCCTTTCCATCCGTGTTCCTGCAGATTTGGGGCGACACAGGGCTGTGTCTGCCAAATTTGCAGCGCTATAAAATTCCTTTCTGTGCAGGAAATTCTTCAGTGCAGAGAGGAGGACTGCCTTAAGGCTGTTTGCCGTCCCTCCTACTGCAAAGAGCCTCGAGTTGGTTGAGGAAACCAGGCCAAGATCTGGATCAAGAACAGCGTAGCTAGGTCACGCTCGGTGCAGGTGAACTGAAATCTTATGTAATCTTTCACCATTGGTAGTTTTAACTGAAAATGCTCTTTTCCAGCTCCATGGATTCGTTATGAGAAATACGGACTTTTTTCTCTTGTGGCTTTGATTGGAACAGTCAAAGTTTCATTGTTGTCACTGTAGGTTGTTTCTTGGCTGGGCCATGGAAATAGCTGCTTTTGCCAGCACTGCTCTTGCTCAGATTTCTCTTTCGTCTGCTTCCCTTCCTGTGCATTTATTTCTTTCCTCCTGTAGATTTTTAGGGAGTTTCCTTGGATGCATCTTCCCCTCCTTTGAAAGCTGCCCGAACGGCTTTCCAGCTGTGAGACCCACCTCAGAATGAGGGCTTGACCCCAATGCTGGCCCTCAGCTGAAAATCTGTAAGGCCTGCATGGGTCAGTGCAGCTTTGGTGCCCCATTGCCCAACGTGAGGCACTCGACAATGAATGGCTTCTGCAACAGCAGTGCACCTTGCCCAGCTTTGACAGGTCTGTGCAGAAGCAGATCTCCCAACCCTCCATGGTGTCTCTGCCTAGAAGTGACTTAGCAGGCACGGGTTAAGCCTCTGCTGTATTTCAGGCCAGGGACAAAACTCCTCTGATGATACCCAGGTATTTCTGGATGCTGGTCTGCACTCGGAAGCTTCCCCGTGAGATAAGACGAAAAGGAGCTTGATCGTGACACTGAGCACACCCTGCACCCACCTGTGGGTATCCCACCCCCAGACAGGGACATTGGGTTGCACGTGTAGGCAACAGGGACCATGCCAATGGTAGCCTGATCTCTGCTTCATCTTCCAACATACTGTCTACTGCCTTTCGCTTGCTGTTTTCTAATCTAGAAAGTCTTCTGTTAATCCATGCATTAAACATCGTATTAACCATGCCTATATGCAGTGTTCCTAAATTTTCACCGGGTAGCTCTAAATCCATGACAGCATCTCCGCTGTAAGAGGATGGGGAGAGCGGTACCATACAGGGTAGGCGTGAATGGCAATTATCTAGCTTTCTATTTTTGGTGGTGTCGGAAGAGTTAAAAGATTTATTTTCCGCAGGAAGAACAGACTAAAACAAACAGCAGTGACAGTAATTGCTCTGGCTTGTTTTATTTTTGTTGTCAGTGGTGGGGTTTTTTTATATGCCATCACTTTCATCAGCATTTAATTGCTGGCACAGAGCCTCAGCTGCTGAATTACCTGTCTCATTGCGATGCGAAGGGCTGTTACATCATTTGCCTTCTGAAGAAGCTGTGGCCGTTCCAGAGTTAAGGCTGTGTTATTTTTTGCTGAACACAGGTACTAAACTTCTCCGTCTTGTGTTAAATATAAATAAAAGATGAAGTTGTCCTTCAAACAACTGAGCGTCCTGGTGGGAGCGGAGGCTGCTGACAGCAGGGAGCCTGCTGGCCCCAGAGCTGGCGAGAAGAGATTCTGAAGTGGCACAGGAAAACCAGGCAGCGTTGGTTGTAACTATGAAAGCTACCAGCCGAACTGAAAAAACGGGCAGGAAAGATCCACCTACAAGCACATTGGGCAAGGGGAAGGTGGTGCATAAAGCTGTTCTATTTTCTTTAAATAGAAGTCATCACAGAGAAGAGGTCTAGGTCAATGTTCTGGCCACAGCTTGCTTCTGCCATGGCTCACTGGATCTCTCACAGGACTGTCACCCAAAGCTGTGTGTGTACCTTGCCTGAGATTTAAGCTCCATACCTAAAGGGCTTCGTGCAGTCGAGTGCTGCTGCGTGGCTGCAGAAGGCTGGGGGTGGCTGGGTGGGGACGCAGGGAAGAGGTAGGACTGGCTGGAGGGTCTCTCCACATCTCTCATTTTAACAGGTTCAGATGTCTCTGACTTCCATCTCCTTTCCATCTGCTTTAGCTTCTGGTTCATGACACCCCAGTGTTGCAATTTACCCAGACCTTGTGGACAGATAAAGAGCTAATAGGAATTTTATCTAAGTATATTTTCTGCTAGCCTAATTCAGACCAGGGACTTGAACCAGTCTATTGAGTTTTTGATGAATGCACTAATCACCCACCATTTGCTCTTCAGAGATAGTAATTCCTTAGTTATTCCTTTCTATCTGAATTAAGACTGCTTGGTTCAGTCAATTTGTTGTCTCTGGCAAGTTTGCAGCGTAGCGAAAGGGGAGCTGCCCTCCACTCACCCAGCCTGAGGGCCTGGCCAACATAGAATCTCCCTGCCCTGGGTATCCTCCTGTGGACATGAAATCATGAAGGGGAGAGTTTGGTAAATGCCCTGTTATCTCCAGGACATGAACTTATAGGGTCAAGACATTACTAGGGTACACACAGCTTCCACATGCTCCTGCCTTTGGATCGAGCATCTCATTTTGTACTTTCTTTCCACTAAAAAGTATCATCCTGCTGTACTGAACTTGCCAGCAATGTTGGGAGATGCAAAACACAGATCATCTAGAATATTCTGTCTGGTCTGAGAAGGAAAGAAAAAAATGAGGTATTATACTTACCCGTTGTGGTGGCAATGTTTTAGCAAAAGCAGAGTGCCAAACTGTCAAAAGAAATTGCCATTCACACCCTGGTGAAGATGTGAGGCTGTACCCCATCAAAGTGACTGGTTGCCTCTGGGATGGAAAGTATTTCAATACTTTGCTTTGAAAATGTGCAGAGATGTTAACATTTAACTGGGGAAGATGTGTATTATCTGCCGTAATCAACGAAGTGCACCTGTAGATGAGTCAAACGTGACATTTCATCTGTGCTTCACAATTGTGTGAGGAAACAATCACGGTGAACACTGTCCACCTCTCATGCAGGAGAATCACACAAGCCCCATAGAGGCCATTTCCTACATACGCTCTCAAAACAGGGCTTACAGCCGCTTCAGCTGGTGCGTGGGCCTTCCACCGAGAACTGCATTTCACCCTTTGAGGTTAAATCTGGGTTAGCATGACACTGTCTGTCTAACGTACCCATTTTGCATGAGAACACGGTGCACATTTGCCAACGTCGTGAATGCTGTGTAGAGTGACTGTATAGGGAGCACCATGAGAGAAAAGCGATTCTGGGAACTACAGCAGTTTTAAACCAAGTTCTTTAGAGCACACGAATAGTACTTGCCTCAGATGTTACTTTCCTGTCCAAGGTAAGAGTTTCTTTAAGCAGAATTCAAAATTGAACAACATTGCAATAATACTTTCAGGCAACTTCATGTCTATAAAGGTATCTTGGTAAAAATTGGAGTCTAAATGAATACCAAAAGGTAAAGATTGATAAATAGGCTGCTATTCACTCTTTTTAAATAATTTCACATCCAATGATAAGAATAATCAGGCAGAATAAATGGTTGGCAGTCTGAAAATTCAGAAGTAGTATCCAGTGGTTAACTGTGTCAGCTCCATTCCTAGTCATGGGTAAGTTGCATCCACAATAGGTTTCATTAAATTCCAGCTATACCATCACCATCCGTCCTGCCCTCTGCGTGCCGGAGCTTTGCCATAGCTCCTCTTCCAGTCTGCTTTGGGAGCTGAATGCACCCCAGCCTAGGCAGGGGCAAGGGCTTTTTGGTAAATCTGGTTGCACTGTCTGCTGACATTGGGCTCAGACTTAGAGCATCTGGGAAATGAATCAGTTGACCCATTGGTCTTCTTGTCCGCAGCACGGGTGAGACCGTACAGGGCAAATTGCTTTGGTTCTGCTGTTTTGCTTTGTGGTTGGGGCACGGCTGGGGTTTGGGAGCTGGATGTAGAGTGCAGAAGGGGAGAAGTTTGGCAGCCTCTTGACTACTGGGACAAGTTGAGAAAGATATATTTTTCTCATGTGTACAGTTATAGATTCTGATTTATTCCATGAACTTATTTCTAACTACAATCTTCAGTATATATGAAAACTTTCCTGTTGTGTTAAAGAAACAAGTCATATCTACGTCCCTGGAAGGGAAGGTCCCAATGCCGGCACGATAACATGCAGACAGGTTGGACCAGTTTGATGCAGCTGAACTTCTGAACCAGAGCTGGATCACATCCCACCACTTTGAAGCACTGAAGGAGGTAGTCACATGGCTTTCCCCACTAAACCACATAAAAACATCCTCAAAGCCAGTATCTGGAGCCTGCTTAGACCTGGGGGTCTGAACATGACAGAGGAACTGTTTCCAGAAGCAGCAGCCAGGTGATAAGGCAAAGAGGAAAACCTACAGCCATGGTACAACTATGGGATGAGTGGGGATGACCGGAGGGCAGGGAAGTTTGAAGGATCTTTAGTGCTGGTATCTGGAAAGTCTTCAACATCTGATGGGCAAGAGAGAGATGAATGACTATGGCTTTGATGTGCAGCATTGATCCCTCATGGCAAATCTCAGTAGAGCCAAGAAGAGTGCTTTATATGTACATGCCTGAAATCAACTTTTCTAAATATCTGAAGAACGTACATGGTGGAGAAAAGGCTGGCTCCAGGAACT